GAAACGATAAATCTCGCAGAGAGGACTATTTTGTCTACGTACTGCATATCGCTTAGCTTTATTCTTTTAGCATATTCGCTTACGCGTTTATTCGCGCTTCTCTCTCTCTCTCTCTTTCTCTCTCTCTTCTTTTGTTCATTCATTATTCTTTCATTCTCATTATTATATTTTTGTATTTATTCAACATTTTAAGTAAACAATAAACGGATGATTTAAACTTTTTCAGACATTTATCTGCCCGATCTAAGAGGAACAATCAGTCCAATATCTGAATTCCCTATGTTGGGATTGTATCAGTAATTGAACTGATAGAAATAATTATATTTTTAATCTTCTACCAGTTGCTCTTTGCAAGCTTTATATACTTCTCATGACTAAAAATCAAATACGAGATGGATGTATATAGCGCGTCGCATAGCGATGAATAAACGAACTATCGGCAGAATACTATATTTTTGTAAAGTTTATAATAAATTAAAGTTGTAAATTTGCTGTCATGCCGTGCATGGCAAGGTTTGCTCTGTTATTTGCGTGAATTTTGCGTCTCGTTGTGCCAGGGTATACTTTTCTCTGTTCTTTCCGTAAATGTGTTATCATATCGTGTACAATAAGGTTTGCTCTGTTCTTGTCGTAAATTTGCTATTATAGCGTGTATAACAAGATTTGCTACTAATTGGCGTAAAGTTTGTCTTGCACCGTGAATTAGCATCATACGTGTTCTTCTATGCGTAAAATTTACGGGCAAGCCTTTTCCTATTATTTAAAGCATCGTGAGACGAAAAATTTTGCCGTCAATTTGCTTCAAACTTTTTGACAAACCAAAACAAGACAAATGTTTGCTACAAAATTGTTTTCAAAATTAAAGCACACCTTGTCGCAAAGCTATGGCAAAAACGTGATTTTAACATTCTTGGCTATCTGGGTAGTTAATAATTTTTTGAATTTACATATATTATAATCTTATTGTGTGCGAATACAATTTTCTTAACTCTTTTCATCATTCAGAAAAAAATATTGAAATAAGATGTAGATTGAGGATAAAAAAGAGATTTAATATCTGTACATGCATTACATATTGTAATTGAATTAATATGCATTTTATATGGGATATGCGAGATTACTTATAAATAATTAAAAAAAAAATAAATGAGAGAAAAGACCAAGCACATACGGATAAACGGAAGAGAAGAATATTTTCTGATATTTATTTGGAGAATTTTCAAAGAAACTATCGATCATCCTGCACGAATGTTCGCGCTGCATCAGCCACGTGCTGCGCCCGTAATAGATGCATCTGATCAAGTATCTCGAGTTGGGAACCTTGACTCCTTCGCGCCGTCGTTGTTTACCCACGGGTCTCATAAATCATCGGTTAGTTTCCTTGATCTGCGCGCACGGTCCATAACCGTGTAATTATGCTTTTTAGAGAGAGAGTGAGAAAGAGAGATCTCGCGTTTTCACTCTTTTGCACCGACCACAGGAGGCAGTGGCTCGATAACCCTTTTTCACACCGCTGCGATTCACGATCCGTATATCATGAAATGTCTTTTACGCTCGTTTTGTGCGCGGCGGCATAAATCCTTGCGTGAACAAGGAACTTTGTCGCTTCATCATTTAGCTCGCGCTTTTCTTTCATCGAACAGCGTTGTCTCATTGTCTAGGATCTTTAAGAACGACATTCTTTTTAAGCGTTGCCGCACCTTTCTCTCTTTGTTCGCCACTTCTGAGTTTTTTTCTTTGTCTCATTATTACTTTCCTATAGATACTCGGTAAAAGTGCGTGAAATGTTCTTTTTTTTTGCGAGAACACCTTATTTGCTATATAAATGCTTGAAACGTGAACGCGTTTCGTGTTCTTCAATAGCGAATTTTAATAATCACGAATTATCCCCTCGCATTTTTAGCAAAATGTTTATATAATTTTATTTTTAATTTAGAATGATAAAAGCTATATACATGTTTAAAATTTTTCTTCATAAAATATCGAGAAAATATACACACACATATAAGAAATATTTGTATATATGTATAGTGATATTTTTATTATATATTTATATTTATTAGAAAAATGTAAATATTTTATCTATATTATATTTTTTACATTTTAAGAAAAGAAGATATAAATTTTTGATTTTATATTTTGATTGTGTTTAATTAATTAATCAGAGTATATTAATTTTCACTGATTGTGAATATAATATCTTAAAATTACAAATATAATAAATTAAAAAATAAGAAGCGCATCTATTCTTTATTTTTTATTATTTATTGATCTTTTTTTATTTTATAAATCATTTACACTAGCGTCAAATTCGATGTCGTGATGACTGATGATCAACACAGTTAAGGAAGGTCATATGTCAAAACATTGACAAAAGCATGAAAATTTCGTAAACTGTTTTACTATTTTTTCTGAGTATCTGTGCAAAACCTGAGCACAATTTTCTTAACGGTTTGGAAATTATTTAAGTTTAAAATTAGTAATATCTTATGAAATAAAATTGCGTATTGAAGCACTTGTTGACAAATTTGACAAGGAAAAAACATTGCCAATGAAATAGAAATTTTCACATATACAGGATAGCCCACGTAAAATATTAAAAGTCAATAACTTTAAAAATATTTGTCGAATCGAAAAGCTGTTTATCAAAAAGTTTCATGTATTCGGGGGACCTTTCTAACTACGTAAACATAAAGTTGCCCCCGCTCCTCCTTTAAGAGGAACGGGGGATAATTTTATAATTTCAAATGGAACTTCCTTTAAAATGTCACATATTTGGATTCTATGGGAAAAAACAAGTAAGTTTTATCTGAAACATTTGTTTGAAAAATGCTTCTATCAAAAGTTATAAGCATTTAAACTTTAAAGTAGAGTGCATTCAAACTGATAATGATAAAACCATAAATTAAATGAAAAATCATAGTTTTTCTATTTTTTTACTTTATTAAATGTTCGAACTGTTTATTCTCATCTAAACACTTATTAATTCTTTCTACAAAATTTTGTTTAGCCTAACTTAATCTAATTTAAACAATATTTCTGAGCTCACGCTAGCGCAAGTTTCGTGTTATTCTCGTTTAAAAGTTATTTACTAAAAATTGTAGAAAAATATCCCTCTCTCTCTCTCTCTCTTTTTCTTTTTGCAAATCACTCATTTATTTGTTTCTTGCAGTTTATTTCAGGGGGTATTCACAATCAAAAGCTTTGTCATAAATTAGGAAAAATATTAATTACAGCTATTTTCTTTTACGAAGACATTAAAAACCATATTATTTTGTGATATTTTAATTCTTTTTATAATTCAGATTTATTTATTTGATTTTTCAAACGTAAGAAATATGTTATTTTTTAAATTTTGACACTTTTTTGCTATTATTGTACAACTAAAACATCTTTAAATCCGTATAGAGAAGACTCATTAGCTGTTGCGGCACAACGTTTACAATTAGTTTCGCAAAATCTCGCGGCGGTGATAGCTCATCTTTCCTCTTCGTGCGTGAGATTGATCCGAGCCATAAAGTCATAAACGAGGCGGATCGGTGATTTGCGCAATCGCTTTTGCGGCCAAGTAATCGCACGCGTCTCAGAAATTCCTGGCGGCCGCGCAAAATGGAGCAGCCGCGGAAAAACCGTTTGAATTTTCTCGCGGCGAGAAATTACGAGAAATTACTCGTTTGCTGTGAACTACCATAGATCACCAAAGATCCGTATACTTTCACCGATCGTTACAGACGCGTATCGAGGCGATCGAGGAGAAGCCTCGAGATGGTAATTTTATATTAACTTGGCGTATAGAGAGTATGGTATCGCACGTGGTGACAATCAAATGGAGTTTGGATGAGGTATTATATTGAAAAGCTAAAGGATAGATTTGCTTGGATGATACTTGATGAGCAAATCACTTTTAACAGTCATGCGTACTTGTCGATAAAAATTCAAAGTTAGAAATATAGAAGATTTCACTTCTCTCTTTACTAGTGAAATATTTTAATATAGAACGGATAGTAAATGAAAAACGAAACTATTTAGGTATATTTTGTAAATATATTAATTTAACGGAAATATATGTGTGATGAAAAAAAACTATATATAATTTATTTATAAAATAGTTTATGAAAGCAACATAATTAATTTACGTGAATTTCTTACTTTTAATTAGGACGTATAAAGCAATTATAATATTATAATGAATAAATTGAATGAATCTGCTGTGCGAATTTATTTTTATGAAATAATATCATAAATGTCATAAATCTGCATAAAAACGAGCATCAGCTTTCTTCAGACGCGCATCCGGCTAAATTTTGGTATCAAATCACCGAGTATACTTTTCACGCGTATCCGATTCCAGTTTCATGCTTTACATCTGCGGTTTTCCTTCCTGAGATTTGAGCGTTGCCAGATCCGTGAGAAAAGAACGGAAATTCTCGCTTTGCGAAAGAGAGAAATGTATGTGTTACCAACACAAAGCGCGAAAAGATGGAGATAAAATAAATTGCCGATCATTTGAATATAAAATTATATAGAATGCGTGGCTCTCTCACAGCTCGAAGCATCTCTTTTCGCAGAATCATTATTGCAAGCGTGGCGCATTATGATTTAGCTTTATGAATAAATTCTAAAATTAACCTGTGGCAGAGATAAGGGAATAATTCGTATATTTTATCGGAAGTTTTGATGGTTGATTTTAATATTTTTACTCATTGTCAGTTTTGAATGTTTTTTTAATTTTTCTTAATATAAATTTGTTTTAAAAATTGGTTGAATTTTTTTTTAAGAAATACACACTATAAATATATATATATATATATTGATCATGTTAACATGATATTTAATATGGTATTTCTCCTTTTTGGTATCCCGTTTAAATATAATTATTAAAAGACTTTTATACAAGAAAAATCATGTGCATTATAGAGAGAGAGTTAAAATTAAAACACGCCGTCATTTCAATACGCGCTTTATTTACCGATTAATTTCCTCTCGACCGTTGCCCGCAGAGAACTCGAGAAAATCCCTCTTGACGCGAAGCCAAAGCGACCGGTCTTTCAGTAAACCGGACGTCTCGGCGGGTGACGTACTGTTCTCGGACACGATGCGGTTCAGTCTGAGCAAGAAGATCAAGTCGCCATCGTTGTCCATCGGTATATGCGCAGTTTCACGCGAGGACGCAGACGAGGAAAGCCCGCCGGAAAGAAGAGGCAAGACAGAAGAGATCGAGGCAGAAACAGGCGAGCTTAAGAAGTCCGATTGCGAGATCGAAGCGAATAAGAATGTTAAGGTAGAGCTCGAGAAGAAGAGAGTTGACAATGTCGAGAAGGAGGCCGAGCCGCCCCTGGACGCACGTAGCGATATTTCCGATGCGAGCAACGAGCATTTCCGTACGATGAGACCCACCAGCTGGTCCCCGCCACCCGGTAGGCAGAGGCATTGCTTCAAGATCGGCGAGTCCAGCGCGGATGAGAATCCCGTCAACTCGATTAGAGATCATCGGAGAACAATTTCGTCGGCGTCGACAGCGTCGTGGAACTCGGCGAGCTCGTACGGATCCTCAAAGATCGAGATCAACTCGCCCGAGAACAACGTTTGCAAAATCACGGTGAGTCCGCGCTCGTCGCCGCTGGTTCATCGGCTGCAGATTGGCCCGAATTCTAGCTCGAAAGGCTCCAGAAGAACGTCCATCCTGATCAACGGCGATCAGAATACAAGCGCGGAACCGGTGCGGGATAACAAAGTGACCATCAGTGTCGGTGGAGAAGACAGCGTGTGCAATCCGACGGTGATCTCCGTAAATTCGGAGAATCCGCCGAAGATCCAGAGTTCCGCGGAGAATCGCACTCTGGTGATACTCGATAATTACAGGTCGAATATTGTGGTGGAGTCGGCAAATGATGACTCGCGTTCCAAACAGATCGGAAAGGATAATCACGTCGTCGAGAATGGCAAGATGAGCTCGAAGATGAATGACGAAGAAACACCTGCGTCGCCCAGCGAGGAAACCTTCTCGCCATGTCGACACGCGGAACAGTCGACGCCGAATTTCGAGAAGAGATTGAGCGTTGAGATGAAGTCCTCGGACACTGATCAGTCTTCGAGATTTTACACATCCGATGAGAAAGTGACACGATCGGAGTCTAAATCGCGATTCAAAGACGTCGAAGATTCGTCCGACTTGTCGAAAGAAGCTCTGATTTCCAAGTTGCTCGAAGACTCCCTACGAAAAGCTCGCGAGAACGGCGAGATCCTCGACGAGGATAGCGGCCAGGCCATCTTGAAGATTCTGAAGCAAAGCTTGCTGAAAAGCAAGGAGTACGAGAGCTCCGAGTCCACTCTCGAAGCAAATTACTCGCGATCGTCTAGCCTGAACTCGGACGGCGATTTTATTTCGACGAATCTCTTTCTCGAGGAGAATCCCTACGAAGTGATCAAGGAACCAATCTACGAGGAGATACCTGACGAGCCGCCGCCGTTGCCGCTGAGCCCGCCACCCACGGAGGATTACATCAAGGACAGAATTTACTTCGGCGACGTCGAATACTACAAAAAAATGACGCCGGGTCAGTTTCTTGGCCCATATTTATCTGAGGAAGTTTTCAAGAAATCCAATTCGGAGGACCTAGCCCAGGCCTACTTGTCCAAGAGTCCCGAAGACTTCTTCAAGAAGATGTCGACGTCGCCCGAGGATGAGAACAACATTTCCACAAAGTTCGAGCTCTTGAATTTTCTGATGGACTCTAAAGATCGCACACGCCCTGCGGAAGAGGACGAGGATGAGGACGAGGATGAAGAAGATGATGCCGAGAGAGACCTGGAGGCTCTGTACGAGCAGAAAGAGACAAGCCTGGGCGATCTCAGCTCTAAAAGCTCGCAGATTTCCAATGTGTCCGATAGCAGCGAGGAATGTAACATCATCCTGACGAGCTCGCCGGAGACGTTAAAGGTGAGTTTAGCGTAATTCTTGATCAGTGAATATAATTCTGCAAACAAGCTTTTTTTTCAATATCTCAGAGATTTTTAGATTATGTGTGCTAATTTAATATATACAAATCTTTCTCATTAATCTAATCTGAGAATTCTTCATATTCTTTTTGCAGTCGAGAACGGTCGACATAGAGAGAACCGATAGCGGGGTCGGGTCCGAGAGCAGCCAAGCCAGCAGCACTCGCGGTGTTGCGAGACGCTGGAGGACGGGCAACAATGTCTCTTCCGGTCCTAGAAGTCTCTTGGGTGGAATACCGCAAGTGATCTCGGGTACTGCGAAGCTGTGCGAGGATTGCGAGCAGCGATTGGATCCTCTGATAACGGACAGGTAGATTGCAAGAGTTTAAATCGGCGATTGAGACCGTTATAGTGTTTCAATATTATACAGATGTACCCGGGAAAACATATCTTAACAATCGCACATCTTTATTGGATAAAAATTATGCCACTAATTGTGTGATTCACTTGGAAACCGTCGTATCTGGTATAAAGATGTTGCTTTTTAACCGTAAGAATTTATACAGCGAGGATTATATAAATAATCGTTGGAGAAATATATGTTCGCGAGAAACGATCGCGCGTGTGTGATTAACGGTTTCTGCTTATCTTTGTCTTCTTTTTTCTGTTACGCGCACGACGGTATATATTATTTAACGCACGAATGATGCACATTAATAAGCGAAATCTTGATGGATACAGCGCTCTCGCGTTTCAACTTGGCTCGTCTTTATAGCTTTTCACGTACCGTTCGAGTCGCAACATGAACGCGAACATTTCTTGAAACTCGTTTTTAACGCACTTCGACGTCCGCGTAAATCGTAAACTGTTATCACTCTTAGCCGTACTCGCGTAGATAGCGCTCGATGATCCGGAGAGAAGATATAACGGTCCGGAGAGCGTCTTCCACAGCTAGCCGGATTTCGATCGTGAGAGATTTAGTTTATTAGGAATTCGCTCGTTTCGCTTCCGAACAAAGTATAAATCTTCGAATAAAACGCTGTTTTGCTTATTTCGACCTCCTGGAGGTGCAATCTCACGAATCGAGGAACGAATGTCGTTTCGTTACGCTTGCGGACCTTTCGCGGTCGATTCATCCGCATCCGTCATAGCAATTTAAACACCGATTCTCTTCCCGTGAGAAATTAATCGGGGAACATCTTCCTCTTTCTGAATTAACGCCGAGCCTAATTCTCAAAAGCCGTGGTTAATTGACTCTTTTCTCGCACACTATTTCTTATACCTTTTGATTGTGTCTGTGTCAAAGTGAGGTAACGCGAGGCTCTTTCTATCGATGTATGTATTTGGAATTCGTGCGGCTAGATTACGCGACAAATGCAAGAGACAGCGGGCCTAACTTTCTCCCGCTATCGATTTTATTCGCTCGAGAGCGAAAGTTCTTCGTTATCGAAGAACGCAGTTGAGATGTCTGATGAATCGATAATGCGATATGCTTGCGTCTGGCAAGTTGCATGCGACAATCACTTTCATCTGCGATCATGGATTATGCATACAAATTCGCTCGCGAGCTCCACGTTCGATTGCATTTACTTTCCTTTGATGTTGATAAAGTTCCTTTTAAATAGTATTATCCACCGAATATATCGCATATATATATATTTCTATTTTGCCTATTCCAGCGGTGTGGTTTACGCGCCCTTTGTGTGCCGGAAGTGCTCGAAGAAGCGCGCGGAGCGGAAAGAGATTATCACGGAAATCGTGGAGACCGAACAAAAGTATGGCCGAGATCTGCAGATCATACTCGAGGAGTTCCATCGACCAATGTTAAGAGCGGGTCTCCTCACGTCGGAGCAACTGACGGCGATCTTTCTGAACGTCGAGGAGCTGCTCGAGCACAATGTCGTCTTGGCCGAGAAATTAAAGGACAGCGTGGAACTCGCTCAGGTAAAGAATTGCACGGGAAATCTATGTTACTTTTAGATACATATGTGTTGAAAAATTTTACGCTGCAACTACATTTACATACGATTTCTTCAATCGTGTAGGAATCCGGAGACGAGGATCTTCTGACGGTGGACCTGGGCAAGATCTTCCTCGAGTCGGAAAGGATGCTTCACGCTTTCGAGAGCTATTGCACGCGCCAAGGCAGCGCTAGTTTATTGTTGCAAAACTTGGAAAAGGAAAAGGAGCTTTTACGCATTTTCCTCAGGGTTTCTCAAATGGAAAACACGGTTTTGCGAAGAATGAATCTGAATTCTTTTTTAATGGTAACGTCACTTAATCTATCCTAATCAGTCTGTTAATTCTTTAATTAACTAATTAGAAGAAATTCTTCTTATTTTCAATTATTTTTTCAGGTTCCCGTCCAAAGAGTTACGAAATATCCGCTTCTGCTGGCACGTTTGCTCAAAGCAACGCCTTCTGTTCGGCCCGACATTCAAGAACCGAAAAAGAGACTTAAACAAGCTCAAACAAACATCGAGTTACATTTGGAACACATGAATGCTGTAAGTACATTATGTATCATAATATGATGCAAAAATTGTTTCATGAGAAGAGGTATATATGTTTCATTAATAGGAGGCGAAAGATGTTACGTCGACGAAATTATGGAGGAGAATATCAATTATCCAGAATGGCAGACGGTCCATCGGCGAACAGGATATGGTGAATATCAAGTTGAGAAAGGTAATGCAATTAAATTTCTTTTTTATTTTGTGTATTTATTTAATTCTAAAACAATTAATATGTGTAAGATATTTGTAGTCATTTACTATTGGTAAAATTTATGCTAGATGGCCGTCGAGATTTTGGAATGGGCTCACGAGGAAGCTAGATTTGTTCTCGAAGGGCGTCTTCTGGTAGCACAGCCGACTGACAATAATTGGAGACGCGGTCGAACTGTCAAACTCGCACCTGTCACTGCCATGCTTGTCACAAACGGCAAGGTAAACATATTATTAATTCCTTACACCTAATTTTATATACAAAATAAATAAAATTCACATTTAAAAGAACTTTTTAGTTAAATGAGTATTCTTTAAATGGAACTCCTTTGTCAAAGGTGTTCTATTCTATTCGTGACCTTCTATTCGTGACCTTGGAGTAATTTTTAGTTCTGATTTATTCTTTGACAAACATATTCTTATGATCACGAACTGTGCGTCCAAGAAATTAGGCTTTGTTATTCGCTTTTGTAAATACTTTAATAATATAAATACCATAAAATTATTGTTCTGCTCTCTGATCAGTTCACAGCTGAAATATGTCTCCCTTGTTTGGGCCCCTTATTAGGATAAATATTCTACATTAATTAAGCGCATCCAACATCGCTTTCTCAGAAAAGTTAACTTTTTTATTGATAAGTCCATGCCTGCCCAAGCCTACTTATGATTATTCTTATAACTTTATTTTAAATAAACTTAATCTGCTAACTTTAGGAAATAGAATAATTTTTTTAGACATAGTGTTCCTTTTTAAATTCATGAATAGCTGCATAGACCGCCCTAACTTATTGGACTTATGTAAGGCTACATATTCCAGCTAGGCCTCTCAGAAATAATTTACTTTTTCATGAAGAACAGCATCGCATTTCTTATGGAAGGTTCAAACTTTTAAATAAAATATGTTTGGAAGCTAATGGATCATTAAATCATATGGATTTCTTTCATATGGGTTTAATTCCATTTAAACGCGTATTGCGTCATTATCTCTCATTTAACACGGATTAACATTTCATTATTGATGTCTCTGCTAGTATATAACTCAAAATTTGTAATTCTCTTATAATTCTTATTTTTCTGTATTATGTCGTTATTCTACTCTATTTTTCTTTATTTTATCCTTTTTCTTTTGTTTTGTACACTCTTATGTACACTAAAGGGAAAATTTTTTCCCCTTTTCATAATAAACAATAAACATTTTCAGTCGAACGCCGAGCATCCCGAATTTAACGATGACTCGCTCTTTCCGAAGCAAATAGGCATCAAGGAAGCTACTCTACTTCTGGTCAAAGAAAAACTTGGGCGATATTCTTTACTACGTGTGAGTCATCATATATTCCACGTTGTAATTTTTTCTCGTTATCATTGAATGATATTAATAATCGCGAATCTATATTCTTTATTGTTATCATCATTTTAGGAGCCGCTATACCTCGATAAATGTATAGTGTGCTGTGAAACGGATCTCGAAGATTATTTCGAAATACAGGAATTGTCTTCCAAGGAGACATTTATATTTAAAGTAAGACATTTACGAGCAGAAAATTATGGATGGAATGATGAGAATGAAAATGGCAAATTAATTTACATATTATTATAGGCAGAAGACGGCGCGAGAACGAAGAGATGGTGCAGAACGTTACAGGCTCACGCACAGTCACTCGGTGCTTGGCGTAAACGTCGAGGAGCTCTTCCCAACATCATGATCTGCGGTGTAGCAAGAAATTAACGAAGGCTTAGATGTAATAAACGTGAACGTCACGCGACGTTATCGCATTTGTCGTCCTTGAACGCGCTTATATTGAAGATGGAGTATTTCCAATGGCGCGAAACTTAAGCGATTACACGAATTCGTGTACATGATCTCCAGATGAATAAGTAATAATTCTTGGAGAGAAAGAGAGAGGGAACGCGCGCTGGACCAAAGGATTTCCTCGGCTCATCGATACGCGACTATCGATGAGCAACACGTAAGTCTAGTTATTATCGAATTCAGGTATAATCATGCATTCGATTGTTACAGTACGTTGAAGAAACTTGAGTTTCCTATGTCACTGTAATTAGAATGTTACGTGGCGCCGAATCGCGCACAATTCTATCGATTCCTAATGAATAATTCTAAGTATCCATATATACATATCTCTGCGTAAGCATAAAATTATTTAATATCTATAATTATCTATATATCCTTCAGAAAAGAACGAGTAGCTGTGATATCGACCGGTGTATTGGGTATAACGTTTTCTTCTCGCAAATTATTTACGGATATTAAAATCCTTATTCATCTTTTATTTTCCATTTGCGATTCTTTTTACCAATATCGCACATTATGAAAACGACAATAATAGGGTAGATTTTATTAGAGGTAATAGGGTTCGCAAATTAATAGTATTGAGAAATAATATTCGCGTGAATCAGCAGTATCAAAGAAGAGAGGATGCCGTAATATATATTATCTCGTACAATCAGCATTGAGAATTTTTGTGAAACTAGGAACACATCTTTTTTTTCCTTCCTCTCACAATTTTATATATATATATATATATATATTCTCTTTCTTCAAGATAATTAACAGCATTTTTACTATGTCTAACACTAGAAAAAATGCAAACTGTACATTGTACTATATTTTTATTTAATAACTAAGCCATAGTATCGTATATGTATATAAATGTATATTTACAGAAAAGTTTTCACAATTCTATAACCGAAATTTATTGTAACAAATTAGTCTGCTGCATTACAAACTTGCGATTTAATAAAATTTAAATATGATGCGTTTGTGTGTTTCTGAGTATAAACCATCTCTGTTAGATATTCATTTCTCCCGACACCTCCGTATAATCCTCTACTACAACGTCTTTAGTGTTACTTAACGGTAATAAATGGCGAGACGCGCGATACTCGTATACACCGATCTCTGGATGTTTTTCTACCAGATATTTATAAGCGGTCGTTAGCCTGTCGATGTCATTTACGGTAAGTTGCGTGGGCTTAAGCTTTGGATCCAAGTCAGACAATTTATACATCATCAGACCTAACTCCTTGCGGCAATGCAATGGGAATAAAGTCCTGCGAAATAAGATAAAAACTTTATTCGTTTTAATTTTATTTATTATCGCAATAGGTAAATGATATAGACAGCAAACAAACTTACTCGATACATCGTATGCTGTACTTCTGTCTGAAACTGAACACGTGCCTTGTTATTTTTTCAAATAGTTTAAAATCGTGTTGCGTGCGTGGTTTGATCAATGGCGTAAACGATACTACTCCCACATCGACATCTGGCCGTGGAACAAAAGCTTTGCCTGCAAATTATAAATTAGGAGTTGTAAATAAAGGTTTGTAAAACAAATTTATGTAAATACGCGGAGAGAATAAGCCATTCGATTATATACCAGGTATAATAAAACGAAGTACTGGAAATGTCCAAGCTTGTGCCATTACCGACAGTCTGCATCGTTGTTCGCCTGAGACATCAGCCACTAAACGTTCCGCTACCTCTTTTTGAAACGTTAATGTCATTTTCGTTCTACCAAATGCCCAAGGTCCCCGGCGTTCGGCTATCGCGTGTAGCCATTTAATTATGAGAGGTGTCGATACATTGAACGGTAAATTGCCTATGACATAGATATCCGGAGCTTTTTCGTCCCAATTTCTCTTTTCTTCCATCGAGAATAAACTTTCTATGTTTGTTTTCCTGATATCGTCGTATATTATGTCCATTTTTCCATTAATCGCTCCGAATGAATCCGCTAGCATCTCTAAAGACGGTTTAAATCTTAAATCTTTTTCAACAACTACTAATCGTTTCGGAATCCGTTTTAAGATGGACCGAGTTAATCCACCTGGGCCAGGACCAACTTCTAATACTTGGCTCCCAGCGAGTTGTCCTGATTTTGTTACGATTTTATCAGTCAAATTTTGATCCATAAGAAAGTTTTGAGACAAACGTTTCACAGCATTCAATCGGTACATTTTTAATATGTCTCGGATGGATGGAAGCGGTGGCAATCGTGGAGTGGACATTTTCAAATACTAATCTCGTATTATAAATAAACACGCAGTTCTCTTATAAACGAATAAATTATAGAATATGATCTTAAAGAGAAAAATATTGCTTCATAAACTCTCTATTATATACAAGCTTATGCAAAGTGAAGTTTTTAATAAGCTAGAAAGTTTTTCATTCAAAACTAATTATTTTATGCAGGCTTCTCGATATTCTTTTCTGGCTCCTCAAAATCATCTAAGAATTTTTCCTGTTTAACCGAATATATTGTATACGTATAAATCCCGATGACTCCAAGGCTTAAAGCAAAAGCCAAGCGATTATTAGATTTGCGATATCCCTGTACCCTTTTTGCTCTTTGCAGATTTTGCTCCTCTAGGCGTTTCATGTATACTACATCTGTAAATTTGAGTTTCTCTGCGTCTTTTAACAAGTCAACTTTTGGCATATTCTGATTTTGTTCAAGTTGGCTATCTGTAGACAAAATAATTAATTTCATTTATGCTAAAAAACCCATCATATAAAATGTTCAATTTAAATCATTCACCCATTCCCATTTCCAGACACTAATGTTTTTGAATAAATTATGGTGAAGGTATCGATTTCTCTTCTTGCCAATTGAATCTTAGACTGATCACAAGATCTACAGGACAGAAAAAAGGATTTTTTTACTTATAAGATCTTAAATTTTTGTTACAAAATTCTATTTATTAACTTAAATTGATTCGCAATATATTTCAGAAATTGATCTCAGATATCAGCGATCAGTTTTTTCATAAATTATAGACAGATAATTCCAAATTTTATTTGAAAAAGAAATTTCTAAGATAAGTATTTTTAGGTTAAGTTATCTATGTGTAACTTTCTGTTAACAGTTATTCTATATATATGACAATTATCTAACGATATTAATCATGTTCTGCGCTCTACCAGCATTTTACAATAAGATTATAATCTGCAATTTATACGTACGATTAAAAAACAAGCTTTGTTTTAGATTCTTTTACACATTGCGAGATCATTCGCAATCTAAAGCACAATAAGGTTATATGTAATGCAATACTGCCATCGCAGCGACGATTGTGAACATTACGTGATGCGACGAAATAGTTTCAAGTTTAAAGCAGCTCCGTCGGTCTCATACGCTCGATATTGATTCGATTTCGGATAAAATGAAAACCGATTTATTTCAAACGTACATATGTAAATTATATTTTAACAATATTGTTCAATTATTTTTAGAGCGCCTTAGAACATTTAATATCGTTACATGACTACATATAAAATAAATTAATAAAATTATTTAAAAAATTGATAGAAAAAGTTACATACACAATTAATTTAACCAAAAATTTTTTGGACGTAAAAATTTCTCTGAAATAAAACTTAAAGTTTTCTTTTTCTTTTAATAATTTATCAAAAAATTTATCATTAATATTGCTACCCAGACAGCACAAGGATGTCCTTAGGACGTCCAAAGGGCATCCAGGACATAAAACTTAAAATTTTCTTTCTCTTTTAATAATTTATCAAAAAATTTATCATTAATATTGCTATTTATTTTCGCAATTTATTTTAGCATTTGTAATGTATTTCAATATTCAAGTAGATATACTATTAAGTTTTGAGTGATTTATCAAAGTTCTCTTTACGATACACATTTCCTTACTGATACCTTTTTAATTTAAAATGTGAAAAGTAGAAAATTGAAAATTTCAATCACGTACACATATGTATGCGATTATTATTTTATAATTGATATTAATTAAATTTTTAGCAAGTAAGATATTAGTAAATGTTTGGCAACAGATTCATTCAGTATATTGCAAAAAAAAAATGACAAACTTTTATTTTTATTTTTGTTTTTTGAACATCTCGACGAAGATCATTTGAGTAACAGTAAGAGTACACAAAATAAAACTTAACGAATTCTTTACCGTTAATATTAGCATTAGCAAATATTATTAGCATAGAAAGATAAAATATTATATATATCGACAGAAAATCAAACTTTTAATTTTTATAAATTATCAATAAAGAGAATATATGTATAATTAGGATAAATGTTACATAGAAAAGAAAAGATGATATTATAAAGAGATTAGAAAAATACTAAGTTACAAAATATGATCTTTTTATATCTAAAGAAAAATTGGAAAGATACTAATGCTATAATTTAATGACCGCTCTAGTATTAAAATTCTAAATCGTATTTATCTTAATGCACAAATTAAATACGAATTAAATATGAAATAATTAAATATGAATATCATTAAGTCAAAAATAGTTATTACAAAGAAAAAGAAAAAAAAAACTCGAAAATTTCTGATCACAAAAGAGGAATAATTCACGAATATTTATTTAGACTGATATTCATATAAATAAGTGTAAATACATGCATTTTTTTAAAGACTTATTGTTAGTCGCAATTTGATCAAGTATCGAAATAGAAGATACATCGATTTGATTAGCGATACGATGCTTAGAGAAGATCTATTCCCTTGCAATATAATGGGCTATTGTATAGAAAGTACATAGTCTATTCACTGTCAGTAGCTGTATCTGTAATATTCTCGTCGTCGTTGTCGTTGATCGATCGACTGCTCCTTTTCAAGAGGAGCCTGACAGCCCGTGCGCGATGCGCTCTCACGTACATACTTCACTCGGTACGTTAATAACGACGTGCACGCGTGGAATTCGATAGATTGCGAGCGATCCGCCGTTGAAATTCGACGTACAATCGGTAGTCAGTTCGCGAGTGGATTAGATGGCTCGGATAAATTTTCAATTGGATCTCGCTAAACTCCCCCGTAGAGCAACTGACGTTACGCTCTGATGATATATTAAATAGACATATTTCACGAGAGTACTCGAATACGCATTTGCGTCTCCAATTCTTCGCATTGAACATTAATTGAAAAGAGAGTGATCGAAGTATTAATTATTTTAGAATTTCGATTAAAACTGAATTTTATCTGAATGTTTCTATTTATTGTCTATTTAGAGTAAATCATTATTTTTTTATAAATAATTGAATATTATGCTAATTTTTCAAAGATAAAAGAAAATTGCGCTTGTTGAAAAATACACATGTGATAGTGACCTAAACCTAAAATATATAAAATGTTAGATAAAAGATTAATTTAAATTAGAGAGGTAAATTGAGTATGCGTAAATAATTTGGTAAAAACTTAATACGTCCGAATCTTTCAATGATCGATGTACATTTAGTATACTGAGAAAAAGAAGTTGTTAACTTGACTAAATTCGTCCAACTAATTACTATTTCTTTGTATTTCTTTAATTGAAATATTTAAGTATTTTAGTCAAATATACGTCATGTTAGATTTAATATGTCGTATTTGACTTAAATATTTAAATATTTCAATTAAAGAAATACAAAGAAATAGTAATTATAGTTGGACGGATTTAGTCAAATTAACAATTTTTTTTCTCAGTGTACGCTCTTTGTTCAAGTTTATTATGGAATTGCAGTTTTCTCGTTAGCAAAAAATCAATGTTTCGACATATGTAAAGTTCTCTGAGAACTTAACGTCCGCGTCCGGTCCAAAAACGACGCGAATAGTATCTCTGTTTCGGTGGATTTATGAGCGTGACTGTTTTAATTTATATGATGCCCCACTTGTTCCTGACTGATTTGTGATCTTGACGGAAGAGTTACGAACACTCCTCTTGTGTGACATTCGATGCTAAAACATCCTTCATTCTCTCTCTCTCTCACGCTTATGTCATTTCCTACGCATCTCTTAAATTTTATCAAAGAAATATTCAAACTTTGTTGCCTCTTAAAAAACTTTTATCAAGAATAACGGCGTGTGCTATTTCTGCAAGTCATTTTGTGTTATAATCTCCTTAACTAAATTATTATACGACGCAATAATTGTTTTTAAGAAAAAGTATGTAATTATTTACAATGTATTTTTTAAAACAATTATTTGTTTTTTTCTTTACACTAATTGATTTGTCTCATTATTCTGTACATAAAAGTATTACGGTAAGATTATCGAAAACTAAATATTTTACGAGATATTTTATTTTTTATATCAAAATATGTCAGATTAAAATATAAAATAACTCAAAAAGTACTTAATGAAAAAATACTTTATTATAGTGTTTTGGAAAGCTCTCGAGGTAAGCTACAAGAATATGTAATAAAAAATGGGGAGTTCCATTTAAGAAAACATCGACCACATTGACCTCACCTTGAAAAGACCACTTAAGGTCAAATCCATATTTTTATCATGTGGCCCCCTTGAAACCATGCAACTTTTGTCTGACACATTTTTTGATATTTCACTTCGTTTCCGAAAAATATGCCCGCGTCACTGTAAATGCCGCACCCTGTATATATATAGTATTTTATGTAGTTAATTTTTCGTGAATAAAATAGATAATCGCGTATTCGCAAGAATATGCATAATCATTTCATAATAATTATATAATTCGATACCGATTTGAAATTAATCTTGAAATTAATGTTTACCAGCACCGGGAAAACTATTAGCGCGAATTTTCTTGTCCATTCTCATCTATTTAATGCGGCGCCGCGCGCGATGCCGTAATAATGCATCGATTTACGGATTTGCAGTAAAAGCATATATACGCATGTCTATTAACATTTTCAGGATGTTCAACGTTTCGAGACAACGCTCTAATTATAACAAGTTCTCTATCGGATTTCTACGTTCATTGTTGGCGTATCATTAACATTCGGATTATTCGAACACAATTTTCATATCGTAACGTGCAATAAATTCGATATGATGCTAGGCTACATATATTCACGGTTGAATTATAATTCATAGAGAATATAATAGTCTCTCTATATCGTTCGGTGGTTAGATATTGCAAACTTCGCATAATTTTTTCAGAGGTAAGCTTATCGATAAAATGCTCGCGTACACTTTTAAAAATTGATCCCCAACGTATTTTTACTCGCTCGCACGTGTTACGTATCTCTCAATTATTCTTTATTTCACGATCGGATCAATTGACAATAAAGATTGAATCTCCGAAGTAGAATCGACGAATCTATATATCTATATAACCGATAAAATCCATCAACAATGCGAAAATAACACGATCGTGCGATCGATTTGATTTCGATTTTTCCTGTTAAATAAGTAAAGTGAGGGGCAATCCATTCTCTTGTTGATAGGTATTGCTTTTCTTAAGTTCCCCCGTCAGAAATTGCGATAAATAGAGAGTGCCCGTAAAATACAATATTTGCGTATGCATGAGGGTTTTTGTATTAATAATTCAACGAATATTTCTTTGCACAGAGCAACCTAGTTATTATCGATTTCTCGGTAACAAAGTTCGCCGTTGGAAATTAAATTTCGGTTTTAGACGGAAAATGTCCCTTTCATTTTAGCATACAAAACTGAAAATTTCAGAGTAATTCTTACGATATTTAACAATTCATTCGATGCTATCTTTTTAGTTGCGATATGTATATTAACGGTTACGAGAAAAATGAAGCCATTTGCTAATAGATCCATTTTTTGAAATTGACTATTAAAAAATCTGAATCAGAACAGAATTTTTGAGATTTATTTCAAATAATATTTACTATTTGTCGAAGTTTGTACACAGAATCGTACATATAAATTTCTTTTAACA